TCCAGTGGCTTGGAGGCGGGGCTGAGGGGGCGGCGCCCTGGGGCAGGGCCCAAGGGGTGTTTCGGGCAGGGGCGCGGTAGGGACGGGGAGCGGAAGGGGCTTCGAGAGAGGGACATGCCCGTCCAGAGCGGGGAGAAATCCCCCGCCTGGTAAGACCTTCCAGGGCTTCCTAAAGTGGAGGTCCCTGGGGAAGTGGTCGTGGAGGGCAGGTAGGATCTGTCCTAAATGAGAGGGCCCAAGTCAGGCTGGCTGGGTTTGGAGCCTTGACTGGAGAGGTTGAAGTAGTGAAGGAGCTGAGAGGGACGGTGGACGCATCTGGGTAAAAGGAGAAGTGGGGGATTAAGAGAACAGGACTTTGAAGGCTTTCAAGAGTTTAGGACTTGGAACCTCTGGCTGTGTCAGAGTTTCCCCTTTAGTGTATGGGGTTCCTGGTGAAGGTGGAGCACAAGCAGGGCCTGCAGAAAAGGGCATCTAAAGTGGTTGGGTGGGGAGAGTCATGGGATATTGTGAAGAGTTGGGGATGGGGAGCTGAAGCCAGTTTGAAATGTGGGCAGCTGGGAATTCCCAGAAGGCAGGCAAGAGAAATGGGAGGCGGAGCTACTTGGCTGAGTTGGGGGCCTAGGGCCCCTGGCTGGGTGGCTGGATGCCAAGGAGGGTTGAATAGGGTCAGGGAGAGCCGGCTGTGGCCCTTTGTCTTCCAGGCCCAGTCTGAAGAAGTACAGAGGAGCAGCTCAGGGAGGTGGGGCTGTTGGTGAAGGGTGCAGGGGCTGCAGGGAAAGGATTGATCCCTTTCCCGGGATCACCCGGGGTAGATTTTGGCAGCCAAACTCATGAATGTGAGAGCCTGTGAGGGTGTTGCCAGGGGAGGGTGACCTAAGTTGTGTGTAGAGAGCCTTGTATGTAGACACTGTGGAGAGGGGTCCCAGGAGACTAAGAATGTGGGGTGGGCATCCTGGATATCCAGGAAGAAGGGCTTCTGACAACATCTGTCATTTCTCAGTCATGTGCTCCTAGTGGGTGGGAGAACCATGTTCTGGATTTGTTATTTGGATGATTCACCCCATTCCCTGAGGCCAGCTGCTGGGGAGACCCTTCATCCTGCTTTTTTCAGCTCTACTAGAATGTCCGTGCCCCTTCCCTAGGCCATAGCTTCCTAAGCTCCAGGGCGCATGGGCTGGAAATGAGCATCTTCCCTATAAACGCTCCATATCTGAGACTGGGGTCTGGCTCTGTCCCTAGATGTCTCTTGTTCCTCCCCTCACTCCCTCCCCCACTCACCACCACACAAGCTGGCAGTCACCACCTTTGTTGAGGCTGATAAGAGCATCTCCCTGAGGGTTGGCCAGCTTCCCTGAGCTGACAGGATGGGCTGTCTAAAGCCAGTAGGCCTGGCTGGGAGGGCTGTAACTTGTCACCCCCTCCTGACGGCTCCAGAGAGCTGGGGGTGAGGACCCTTGGCAAGTGGTAGGGGGCGGGGGGAGCAGCAAATGGCTTAGGGATGGCCTGATGGGGGCAGGGCCAGGGCCTCCCTGTGCCGGGCACTGTTGACCGCTTCTGTCACAGGGCCTTTTGTTCCCTGCACAGGACACATTGAATAATAACTCTCTGGGCAAGAAGCACAGTTGGCAGGATCGGGTGTCGCGATCATCCTCACCCCTGAAGACAGGTAAGTCGGGACCCTTTCCCTCACCTGGACCTGACTCAGTCCCCACTGCAGATGGCAAACCCAACAATCTCTGGCTTGCAGAGTAGAGGTGAATTGCCTGTCCCTCAGGCCTGAGCAGGCCCCCCTGAGGTCAGCTGTGGCGCCCGAGAGAGGCCTGGCCCCAGAGCCTGCCGTGGGCCTATTGCCAGGGAGGCTTTATCTGGTTTCTGTGTCCACATTCTGATTGGAGGGAGCAGGTAGCCTGGGAGTCAGGGGTGAGGGCACCTGCCTTCAGCAGTGACCGGCCTGCTTTCCAGGGGAGCAGACACCGCCACATGAACACATCTGCCTGAGCGATGAGCTGCCACCCCAGAGCAGCCCTGCCCCCACCAAGGATCGAGGCACCTCCACCGACAGCCCGTGCCGCCGAAGTGCTGCCACCCAGATGGCGCCTCCCAGTGGTCCCCCTGCTGCCCCGCCTGGTGGCCGGGGCCACTCACATCGAGACCGCATCCACTACCAGGCAGATGTGCGGCTGGAGGCCACCGAGGAGATCTACCTGACACCAGTGCAGAGACCCCCAGACCCTGCAGAGCCCACCGCTGCCTTCCTGCCGCCAGCGGAGAGCCGGATGTCAGTCAGCTCTGATCCAGACCCGGCCGCCTACCCCTCAGCTGCAGGGCGGCCGCACCCCTCCATCAGCGAGGAGGACGAGGGCTTCGACTGCTTGTCATCCCCAGAGCGGGCTGAGCCCCCAGGTGGAGGGTGGCGGGGAAGCCTGGGCGAGCCACCGCCACCTCCACGGGCCTCGCTGAGCTCGGACACCAGCGCCCTGTCCTACGACTCGGTCAAGTATACGCTGGTGGTGGATGAGCACGCCCAGCTGGAGCTGGTGAGCCTGCGGCCATGCTTCGGCGACTACAGTGACGAGAGTGACTCGGCCACTGTCTATGACAACTGCGCCTCTGCCTCCTCCCCCTATGAGTCAGCCATTGGGGAGGAATACGAGGAGGCCCCCCGGCCTCGGCCCCCTGCTTGCCTCTCCGAGGACTCCACGCCTGATGAACCCGATGTCCACTTCTCTAAGAAGTTCCTGAACGTCTTCATGAGTGGCCGCTCTCGCTCCTCCAGTGAGTCAGCAGCGGGGAGCTGTGGGGGGACCTGGGTGGGGAGAGCCACCATGAGGGTGTTCCTGGAAGGTGGCCTCGGGCCATCTGGTTCAGGGCGTTAGGACTGAGTGCTGTCTAACTGCCCCCAAACCTTGACCAGAGGGGCCATCCTCCTCTAGCCCGTGCCCCTCACCTGCAGGTGCAGAGTCCTTCGGGCTCTTCTCCTGTGTCATCAACGGGGAGGAGCAAGAGCAGACCCACCGGGCCATATTCAGGTAAGAGCCCGGGGCTGGGCTGGCCAGGCGGCAGCTGGGGCCACACCCTCTCTGCCTCTGCCTTCCCCACATGGCCTAAACCCAACCCCTACTACTTAGCTCCAGGTGGCCTGTGTCCACCCTCTAGTAACTCAGAGTGTGGTGACACAGTGGCTGGGTGCTGCCAGAGTCCAGGACTGAGCACCTAATCTGGCCGGGGCAAGAGGGCACCCAACAGAGATGCCTGACCACACACAAAACCTACCCCCTCACTTCCTTCCATGCAGAAATACTTGCTTCCCATGACCTCTCATGGTGTCTCAGTGGCCCTAGTCACTTGCTCCCTCAGCCATGAGTTACTCGATGGCAGATGCATGTCTGATTGACCTTGGTCTCCCCCCGGGAACTAGCATTGTGACAGGCACATGAAATGCTTTACAAATGTTTATTCAACCAGTGATGCCAATGCAGCTCCCTGACCCCAGAGCAGGTGAGGGGTGGATGACTGGCTGGAGAGGCCCCTCCAGGTGGTGAATTCCTCACGTTCCCTGGTTGGGGACAGGTTTGTGCCTCGACATGAAGATGAACTTGAGCTGGAAGTCGATGACCCCCTGCTGGTGGAGTTGCAGGCTGAGGACTACTGGTATGAGGCCTACAACATGCGCACGGGTGCCCGGGGCATCTTTCCTGCCTACTACGCCATCGAGGTCACCAAGGAGCCTGAACATATGGCAGGTAGTGTGCCTCCCCTCACCTGGTGCAACTGGGCCTCACCTCTACCTGCCCCAGCTTGCTGTTGGGTGAACCTGTGCTCTAGATCTCAACCAGGCAGAGGTGACTTCAGGTCCATTTTACAGCTGAGAAAAGTGAGGCCCAGCCCAGTTGGGACATCTGTGGGTGGTGGCGCCCTCTGCTGGGTCTGCTGCTCCTCACACTGTGCTTGCTTTCCAGCCCTGACCAAAAACAGTGACTGGGTGGACCAGTTCCGCGTGAAGTTTCTGGGCTCAGTCCAGGTTCCCTATCACAAGGGCAATGACGTCCTCTGTGCCGCTATGCAAAAGGTATCTGTTCCCTGCTCCACTTGGGTGGGTGCCCACCCCAGCCCCACCTCCTCTTCGTGGGGAGAGAGACTTCTAGCGCCTGATGTTCTGGTCCCTTACCCACAGATTGCCACCACCCGCCGGCTCACCGTGCACTTTAACCCGCCCTCCAGCTGCGTCCTAGAGATCAGCGTGCGGGGTGTGAAGATAGGTGTGAAGGCTGACGACTCCCAGGAGGCCAAGGTGACTGTCCGGCCCGGCCCCCAGCTCTCCCTCCACATCTCCAGCCTGTGCCCCCGCAGGCTGATGACCACCCCCTTCTCTTCTCCTCCTCTAGGGGAATAAATGTAGCCACTTTTTCCAGTTAAAAAACATCTCTTTCTGCGGATACCATCCAAAGAACAACAAGTAAGAACAAGACAGAAAAGAGGTCGAGACGTGGGGTGGGGTTAAGGGGCCACTTAAGGTCGGGCGTGGATACGTGTGTGTGGGAAGGGTCCTGTCCCACCCAGGCTGACTGCTGTCTTCTCACAGGTACTTTGGGTTCATCACCAAGCACCCTGCTGACCACCGGTTTGCCTGCCACGTCTTTGTGTCTGAAGAATCCACCAAAGTCCTGGCAGAATCCGTGGGGTATGTGTGTGTCCCGCCAAGTGCCCAGCCCTGCAGCCAGCCCCAGGCTCAGGCCCGGAGCACACTCCTCATGCCCGGTAGCATCCCTCAGTCCTCCTCACAGCTCTGCGCACTGGCTGCAGGTCACAGGGCCGTGGCCTGGAGAGAGGGCTTGGGTGGTCGTGAGGTCCAAACTTCTTAGCTGCTGGGCCCTTTCTTCAGCTGAAGTCTCTCAGAAAACACCATGTGCAGAGAAAAGAGCTGAGCAGCTCCCCCTGGGAGCAGCAGAGCCCCATCCAGGGGCCCCGAGGCTCCAGTTTGAAAACCCTGGGTTGAGATCCCGGTTCCTCCCCAGTCATCCCTGTGTGTCTGCCCGCCTCCTAGGAGAGCGTTCCAGCAATTCTACAAGCAGTTTGTGGAGTACACCTGCCCCACAGAGGATATCTACCTGGAGTAACGGCGCTGCTCTGCCCTCTGCACCCCCCGGGCCCTCAGGCCAGTGCCAGGACAGCTGGCTGCTGACAGGATGTGGCACTGCTTGAGGAGGGGTACCCGCCACCACCAGAGGATGGGGATGTGGGGGGCTGCTGGCTGAGGGTGGGGGAGGGCAGGGGTTGTGGGGAGAAGCAAATGCAGTTTATTGTAATATATGGGATTAGATTCATCTATGGAGGACTGAGCGGGCTGCCCGGGGATTGGGAGGGAGCAGGGCTGGGGGAGGTATCAAGCCTCTGGCCAGGAAGGGTGCCCATCCTAGGGGCAGAGGGTTCTGTCTCATCTTGGGCCTCACTTCCCCTGCCAGGGACCCTGGGCATTGGCTCCTGCCCTGACGAAGCCTGTGCCACCTGCGAGTGCCCACCCACCCCCTGCCCCCAATGCCCAACCCCAACCCAAGGGCCCTGAGCTCAGGCTGAGCCCAGCCACCTCCCGAGGACTTAGCAGTAAGAAAATGGCAGCAGATGGAGGTGCAGTCCCTGTTTCCAGCTCTGTCACTTGTGTGGTCTCTGGATGGCTCCCACCTCCCACCTCACTGGCATGCTGGCCCCATGGCAGGCATGGAGCCTCACAGGGAAGGAGAGAGCCGCAGCAGGGCCCGCCCTGGCAGGAAAAGGAGGCTTCCACCCCGGCCCAGGCTAGCTGGGGCCTCTTGGCTGCTTCTGTTGTAGCCTCATTTTGGTCCTGTCACCCTGGCCATAACTATTAAAGTGCCATTTCCTGTCGGGACTGCAGTGGGTGTATCTACTTGGACCCCCCCCCCATGCAGCTCGTTTCCATCCCAGAAAAGTCCAAGCTTTTGCTGCACAGAATAGCTTTATAAGGAGTTCCCATCACAGGTGTGCATCATAGTAATACTCAGCCATGTCTGGCCCGTCCCGCTTGCGCTGCTGGGCCCGGGAGAGGAGGGGTTGAGGCCCTCGCGGCCATGGGTGCTTGGGTCGAACCCCGTAGTCTAAAGAGAGAGAAGAGGGCATGAGTGGGAGGGAGAATTGTTTTGAGTCCACTAAAGTTTTCACTGAATAGATGCTGTTTGCGATGAGAAGACCCTGAGGCTGGACCTGGGTGCCCGCTCCTAAAACACATCTCCCCCATCAGGGAGGAGCGAGGGGAGAGGACGGGGTAGGGGAGGGATGAGAGATACTACCATCTATCAGGCCGGAGAGTGGCTGCGAGAGTTCCAGTGGGGCTGAAAATTCCTCGGGAACAGATCGCTGAGGCCTGTGGGAGATGTTGGGGTGCTCAGCCCTGGCCGCAAAGCGGGGATCAGCCCCGAGTGGGGGACTGGGAGAGACCTGACGCCAGGGAAGGGCAGCACCGCAAACCCCCACCTCCCAGGCTCCCAGTCCTGTCGAGCCCTGACCCTGTGCCCCCAGGAGCTACCTCAGCGGCTGGAGGCTAAGGAGCGCAGCCACCAGGATGAGGTAGAGGAGGAAGAGGCTCAGCCCCACCCTGGGGTGCAGAGCCCCCAGCATGGCGAGAACCATCTACTTGGGTCCCTGATCCCGGCTTCTGCCTGCCCTTCCCCCTGCAGAAGGACGGAACCTGCTGCAGCTCCCAGGGCCACCTCACAAAGGGCGTGCGTTCCGTGGCTCCGCTCAGCACCAGCTCCCCCCAAGGCCCCCACCTCCACGCTGAGGTGTGCTTGATTTTACTGAGGCTGTGGGCCAACAGGTGCCAAACCATGTCTTGTGTCACTGGTTAAGGGCACAGGCCTTTGGAGTCAGATCTCAGTTCAAATCCTGACCTTGCCTCTTGCTAGGCGGACATGCCACTTAATCTCTGTGGGCCTCACTTTCCTCATCTGTGAGGTAAGGTACATAACGTGCCCAGGGACTGGCACACAGTAGGCCCTGAGCAGAGGCCACACGCACTGACTCCTCACCAGCCAGAGCCGCCTCCTCTCCTCCCGCTCCCACAACACCCCATCTCTCCCTCCTCACCTCAGTAGTCCCAGGAGAGTCCTGCCAGCTGAAGAGCCCTAAGCGGGTCACTCAGCCCCCAGCCACTCAGAGGTGCCAGCGCACAGAGCCCACTCTGAGAGCCTTCTCCACTTTCTTTGCTCCCCGCAGCTTAGACCCTCCTGGCCCTGGGGATTCCACAGTCCCTGCCACTACCCCTGAGGCTGACAGAGGGATTTCAAGTTAGGTGGCAAAGCCTGGGCCCAACCCCTAGAATGTAAGTTTCCCAAGGGCAGGGACTACAGGATCCCCAGTACCTGATGCCTGGTGGGCACTCAGTAAATAATTGTTGAATCAATCGGTGCAGCTTTACCGTAGGCTGGGGACCAGGCTTTTCACAGGCCTGATGCAAGGCCTTGGGACCCTCTGGCTCTTGTCCAGCCCCTCATGGACCTGGCTTACTTCAGAAGCCACAACCTGACTTCTCACCAGCCATCTCTCTATGTCCTGAACCCAGCTGTCTCCCACAAACCTGCCTTAGCATCTTGTCCCCACGAAGGTTCACCCCTGCTGGGAACCACAAGTTCCAGATGCTCTGGCTCTGCTGAACTCCAAAACCCTCCTCTTCACTCTCCTTGCCTCCGAGATGCCATCCTCTTCTTCTCTATCCACAACCAGTCCCCAAGGCCTGGCTGGGTTACCCTGAAACCTCTATCCCCTCTGCCATTGTCTTAATTCAGCCCCAGTCACAGCGTCCTGCTCCCACCCTCCACCTCTGCCCACAGGCCACCATACACCAGGCTGCTAGGATGAGGTTTGAAACAGGTCCCCTTCCCACCGCCTCCTAGAGGCAGGTCTGTTTCTTGCCTGGTATGCAATGGCCTGTTGGATATGGCCCTGACCTTCCCCTTCAACGCCATCCCCTTGGCTCCTGCCCTGACTCCCTTCCTCCCTAGCAGTGGCTTCACGCCACCACAACACCATGAGTGCTGTTTTTGCTCACACAGCCTCCATTCCGTTTGCCTGTCAAAAATGAATGAAGATATACCAGTTGAAAAAGCCTGCTTGAATGGAAGGTTCCCTGACCAGTGTGTCCTCCCGTTACTCCAGGCGGCAGGCACCCCACCCCCCCACTCACCTAAGGTCTGCCTGTGTACACACTTCCTCCTGCTGCAGCAACCTGGCACACCAGTGCGTTCACACATCTGTCTCCTCCACGAGTCGTGAGAGCAAGGGCAAGGAACAGGGCCTGACTCCCTTCTGAACACACAGCACAAGGCCCAGAGCTCGCCACACGACAAGTGCTGGGCAACACTTGTGAGGAGACAGCAGGTTGTGGGCCCTGAGCAGTGACCACCTGAAGGCTTGGTACCTTCATCCCCCTGCCCAGGACCTGGGTGCGGCTTCTCAGAGGCACTTAGGGGAAAGCAGCCAGGGAAGGGAGGAGGTGAGACACGGCTAACACAGGGGCCTCTTAGAACCTAAGGGGCCGCCCGTCTGGCTAGAAACTAGCAGGAGTGTGTGGCCTTTTCACAGGGCAAAGGGACAGAGGTTGAGGAAGGGGAAAGACCAGATAGATAGTGGCCGTACCGTCCAAACCCCTCTTCCCTCCCCAGCTGCTTGCATGGCTCCAGGCAGACCTGGCCTGAGTGGGGAAGACCCCAGCTCACACTCCCTGAACCCACACCCGGCCTTGCCCAAAGCCTCTCAGGCTCCCATCAGCCAACCTTACCACCACCCCAGCATTGGCCCCAGTGCTGGCTGGTGCCTGACATTCCTTTTCCCGCAGGAGGAAAGCCTTTGCTCTTAAGCAGGGGTTCAGGACTTGAGGTGCTGCTCTGTACTGAGCCGGGCCCACCATCACCAGGCTCTGCCATGGAGTGGCTGGCAGGGAACGAGGCCCTGCAGGGGAAGGCACAGGCAGAGGATCTGTCCAGAAGTCACAGGGGCAGCTGTCATCCACTGCCCCGGTTCAACCTTGTTTGTCGTCAGCAGGGACTGGTGAGAGAGAAGCAGCATTCACTCCCGCAGCAAGCAACTTCCCATGCTCCGTGAGGTTAAATGCCAGCTTTCTGTCGCTAGAGGAGCCTTGGTCCTGGTCCTAGCAGAGGCTTCTCAGCCCAGTGACAAGGTGCAGGCTGCAGTGGCTCCATCACCGGAGGAGGCAAAGTCGAGATGGTTTTAGGGGAGCTCTGGTGGCGACCAGCACTGTGTGCAGAGCCTGGCCAGGGTGAGAGTGTGGTGGGCACGGAGAGGCCACAGGCTTTGACACTGCCAGTCAAGTTTTATTAGGGCAGAGGGGCCCAGGGGTCTGAAAGGCTGAAGTACCCCCTGCCCACAGCAGCAGAGCCTGCCACCCTGCCCCTCCCCACACCCTACTCGCGGAGTGTCTGTCAGCCCCAACTGTAGAAATAAATTTTCTGCCAGGTTGGCAAGTAATCCATGAGTGGCCCTGCAATGACAGAGAGGGAACAAGTTCAGGGCTGAGGGCCAGGCTCCAAGTGGGCTCTGCTCTACCCAGGCCCCTCTGAGCCACTGCTGCCCAAACACTGCGGCTCCCTCCACACAACAGGAGCCCCCTCTCCCACCTCTTCACATCAGCAGCCATCTCTGTCTCCATTTACAGACAGGCCTCTTAGGCTCAGGAAGCCACACAGCCGTCCGGCTGTAGATGCCGACAGCCCTGGCCCAGTGGCTCTCTGCTGAGGTGGGATCTCCGAACAGTTGGCAGGCTTCATCCCTGCCATGTAGACACCACCCAGAGAAGCCGGTCTCCTATCACTGCAAGAGCTCTCATCCACCCAGCCTGACCCCCTAGGGCTACCTCTCCCAGCTGTGCCAAGGATCAAATTACAAGGAGACAAAAGAAAACAGGAAGATGGGCCACACATGAGATCTGTGCTACTCAGTAATCATCATGCCCCAACCCCATGCTTACTTGTGACCAGGCCAATGCCTGGGACATGGTCTGCCAGCAGCTGAAGCAGAAAGAGGATCTTGGCCCTGCAAGAAAGGAGCAGGCTGAGTAGGGAGCCTGGGTCCCTGCAGAAAGCCTTTACAGATCACCTGACTAAAGGCAGTGCATCCCAGAAGACAGAAAGTCACTCTGGATCAAGGATGTCCCCTAGGACAAAAGGAAGAGAACTCTGATCCTGTTGTCCTCCAGCCACAGGCCTGGAACACTCACACCTCAGCCCACAACTGGAAGGCAGCCTGGCTTCAGAGACTATAAAGGGAAGAAGTTCCCTTCCCAGACTACATCTCGGAGACCCTCAGCACCCTGCTCCCTGTCTTCTGGGGAAACAAGAAATTTCTCAAATGAGTTTCTGGACCCTTCTGAGTCTAAGCCGCTGCTCTGAGGGTGCTCGGCTGGTCAAGTCACAGGAGAGTGAGCCAGACTGGCCTGGGATGCCACCTCTGCAATTACCATCTCCCGTCCCTTCAGTTCAATGAGCTACCCGGGCGCTAATGCTTCCTCTGTAAAGGGCAAGCAATTTGCTGGTGGAGGTCATATGATCCACGTTAAGTCTCTGGAATGTTTTCTCCAGAGTACAGAATAGGATTAGAAGCTTTCAAACTTAGCTGAAAATGGGAACTGCTAGGCAGTTATTTTCACTGAGGTAGTTATTAAATATGACCTCAGCTTGCTTTCCACTGTCTCAGGAAAAAACCCTGAGGCCGTGTGGACATAATATTAAGTACAATTCCAATTAATACTCGGTGTTTAAGCAGCATACTTGTTAAGACCTAGACAGAGGGGGTTCTCACAGCCCCAGTCACTGTCCGGGGACCCCTCCCCAAGTCTCAGTCTGACCTCAGGCAGTCACACTGGCAGGACTTTGGGAGACCTGGCCCTGGGCCACCACCCGCCCCCAGCAGGCCCCTCTGTGTCTGGCTGTGGCTGGGTACTCTGGACCTTCACAGAGAACACGGATGTGAGGTCTGCCTCTACCACTAGCTAGCTGGGTGGCTTTGTTTCAGCCGCCCAACCTCTCTGAACCTCAAGTGTCTCCTCTGAGAAGGAGAGGTGATCCCAACTACTTGACAGGAAAATGGGCAAATGAGCTGAGGGCATAGAAAGCCCAGGCCCATGATCCCTGTACCCTGCCCTCGCCGCCAACAATGGCTTAAGCTCCTGCACGCAGGCAGATGGCTCCGAGAACTCTGAGGACAGGGCTGGGCTGGCACAGATAAATCAGGGAGTGACTGCACCCAGGACAGCACATAGCAGGTACTCAGTGAATCCAGATCCAGGAAGGAGGAAGGGAAGGTGTGAACAGGGGTGGGGCACTGCACCCCGCTTCCCTCCCCTCTGCCTCGCTGAGGGTGGGCCCTGCCCTTCCAGGGGCCGGTCCTCACTCAGAGAAGCGGTCATAGAACGGGGAGCGCAGCAGGTAGTAGAGCAGCAGGATGGTCCGTCGCCGCAGCTCCAGCCGCTCCCTCCGGGTCAGGCCCTTCCTGTCGCTCAGGAGGCTCAGGCTGGTAGAGGAGGGAGGGAATAAGGTTAGGGCCAGAAACAGGAGGATCAGGGGCCCCTGCCTGCCCAGGTGAGGCCAGGCCTGCAGCACAAAGCCCAGCGAAGGGAGTGGAGGCCCAGGCAGGCCCAGGCTCACCTGGTCACATCCACGACACCAGACAGGAGCCAGGGTGTCCATGACCGCTGACCCCATAGGCCTAGACTGAGCACTGACGGCCAAGGCGTCAAGGATGTCTCCAGCACATGGCCTACCCTGGCCAGCGCCCATCTGTCCCACCCCCGCCCCATGCTAAGGATACAGTGCAGCAGGGGCCGGGCAATATACAAGGACTCTGCGATGGTCTCCTGCAGCCCCAG